GAGCTGTTCCATCACCTTTCCAGGGATGGAGGTGAGGCTGACAGGCCTGTAGTTTCCTGGCTCCCCCTTCTTGCCCTTTTCTGAAGCCTGGAGTGACATTGGCTTTCTTCCAGGCCTCAGGCACCTCTCCTGATCTCCATGACCTTTCAGCGATGATGGAGAGTGGCCTAGCAGTAACATCCGCCAGCTCCCTCAGCACTTGTGGGTGCATCCCATCAGGGCCCATGGATTTGTGGATTTCAAGTTTGCCTAAATGATCTCTAACCTGAAACTCCTCGACCAAGGGAGTCTTCCTTTCTCCAGACTTCCTCTCCTGTCCCCAGGGTCTGGAATTCCTGAGGGCTGGCCTTAGCAGTGAAGACTGATGCACAGAAGGCATTCAGTAACTCAGCTTTCTCTGTATCCTTCATCACCAGAGCCCCTGCCCCATTCAGCAGTGGGCCCAAGTTTTCCCTAGTCTTCCTTTTGCTATTGATGCATTTGAAGTCCTTGACATCCCTTGCCAGATTTAATTCCAAATGTGCCTTAGCCTTCCTCGTTGCTTTTCTGCATGCTGTGACGATGTTCCTATATATACGTTCTTATAAAGCACAATGGAAAGCAGCTTGGATCTGATATTTTTTAAATTCCTGCTTTATCATCCTTACAAGTAGCTTTGAATGGCTTCCATTCTGTGATCCCATGCTGCCCTCGAAGAAGTTTCAAGATTGTCAGGCTATCTAAACTCAGGGAAAATGGAGGATGGTTGTATATAAAAAAGGATCTGTGTTCCATCTTTGAGAGCCCATGGCAAAAGTTCTTCAACAAAAATAACTTTTCTGTAAACAGATGATGTCCTTTTCTTTTAAATAGGTATCCAACAGAAACTGGACCATATAATGTATTTGAATATAAAAACCATCTGGATCACCTCTTTCTATAAGTCCCCCTTGAAAGACCTCGGATATGGAGCTGAAGACTTCTATGATATTGATCCCATGTTTGGGTCAATGAGTGATTTGGAGAACCTGCTTGCAGCTATACATGATAGAGGTAAACTGCGGCTATGATCAAAATAACTCTATTAAAAAATTCACTTATAAGTAGTACTGTGTAGCATTAGGTGTTATGATCTGAGATTTGAACTTGTGCCTCTGGCCATTTTCCCCCATGACCTCGCTGAGGAGAAGCAAGTGGAGGTGCCAGCAGAGGGGACGCGTTAACTCTCCAGCAGTGCGAGCCCTGCGGTCACAGCCTGCTGTCTCCTCTGCGGGGCACAGTCCCCCCCAGGGTGTCCAGGGCGGCGGGTTGACAGACTGCCGGTACTCCCTGGTGTGCATCCGTAGTTGGAGAGGTGCGTGTTTCTGACTTGGAAGTTTACTACCGATGGCTGCTTTCTAGAGAAAGCAGGAAAACGATTGTGAGGTTGGGAGGGGACTTGTGTTTCCTTCCTGCAGTCGCTTCCTTCGTTCGTACCTTTGTGCCTTGGACCAAATGTTTGCTCAGGTGTTTCCCCTCCGAGCTATTGGGCTGAATGGAAGATGGTTTGCCAGTCCCAAAAACATTTAAAAAAAATGCCTAGTGTGTGAAAATGGCAAGGAACAACACATGTTCCCTGATGCTAGAGGGGTTGGTGCCTTCCTCACCTGAGATGGGACACAGATGTTCAAGTCCTTGGTCAGAGTTAGAGGAAGTGGTTTGTAACAAAAAAAAAAAAAAAATCTGTTCCGCTTTCTCCCCCCACCCCTTCTCCTTTCCATCCCCCAGAAAATGGGGAAAAAAAACTAAAAAAGGTACCAGCATATATACCAGATATACTGCAGGTACTTGGAGGGTGGTCTTAGTCTAACTATGTTGATTAGGATTGTAGTCTGGGGGTTTTTGTCTCTTTTTGTGTGTTCCCATACCCCCAGCCAACAGTGCTGGGCTAGCTCAAAATGTTACGTGCTCTCCGTTCCCTCGGGTCTAAACCCTGCTTCTGGGAAGCGCCCGGAACGCATTAACATACCGCATTAGAAAGTGTGAACTTTGTCTTAAAAGGCTAAATTTAATCCTTTTTATGGTTTGGTTTATAAGGGTTGAAGGTGATAATGGATTTAATACCAAACCACACAAGTGACAAACACAGATGGTTTCAGCTGAGTCGCAATCGGACGGGAAAGTACACAGACTACTACATCTGGCACGACTGTGTGCAGGCTGACGGCTCCATCGCTCCTCCAAACAACTGGGTAACTAAGGGAAAGGACTCTTCGTAAATCACAAACCGGTGTACAGGTTGCCACAGTGTAGCGAAAACGGCTATAACATAATTGTCCCAATGTACACTAGGCAATAAATGATTCTTTAGAGGTACAAGCAGAAGTTACTAAATGAGCTTGAGTGCATTAAGGTTTAAACCAGCGCAGGGTGCAGGGGTTCATATGTCGAACAGATTTAAAAAACAACCACAACAGAGTGTTGTTTCTCTCCCCAAGTGTTAAATCTTCACTTTTTAAAAGCAAAAGGAATAATTGTGCGCAAGTCACTCAGTCACCCTTGTCACGCTTTGGTGACTGGGTGTGCTGCTCTAGAAACCTCCTCTTAGCATTTCTGAAATCATAGCTGGCGTGGAGAGAAGCAAAACAGTATGTAGTTGGCTTTTCCCCCCTTTTCTAGAAGGTGAGCAGGCTGGGATCTGGGTTGCCCATTTCATGGCCTCTGGTGAAAACACTAAAATATATGTATTTGTTATGAAACTGAACTGATGCGTGTATGAGAGGAACGTGCATATTCTAACACCTCAAGGCAGAGTTAATGGAGCTGTGGCATATTTTGTCATAGCTAGCCTCCATTTTTGTTTTAACTTAACGAGAGTCTTGGGAGTTATCTTTAGTTTCTGGAGTCTTTCCTCATGGAAATGATAAATTTAACATTTTAAAATATTGACTGTTGGAGCTTCACAGGGATAATATCAGATTGCAGAAGCTGTTAAGTTAGTTGCCGCTATTTGTAATAATAGTTTTAAGAAAATGTTCCCACCCGTGTTTCCCCCTCTATCCCTAATAATTCCTAGCGAAAGTCTATTTAAAAAGAACGAAACAGAACAGTGAACACAAAATCCATAAACATCTACAGGCCGTGTGCCCCAGATGTGGCGAGGCATGACTGAAAGTGAGAGCACCTACCGGAAAAGGAAATGTGAAAAGTAAACAAGCGTCAAAATCCATTCAAAATTTACTCCATTAATTAGGCACTTTGTACTTTATTTGATGCTTGTAATGCGCCGTATCTTAAACATTTACTTGTATGCATGCTTTGTTAACTTAATCAAGTTCTGGTATTTTTTTCCCCCTTATATGGACAGGTAAGCGTTTATGGGAATTCCAGCTGGCAGTTCGACAATGTGAGAAAGCAATGTTATTTTCATCAATTTGGGAAAGAACAGCCAGACTTAAATTTTCACAACCCTGCTGTTCAACAAGAAATCCATGTAAGTATGTGCTGCACTGTATGGTGCACCGTACACTGCACAGAGAGAAACTACTACCACTACTCCAGTAGCAAGGCAGCTCCTTCTGTACTTGATTTGATGATTTGTGCTACATAAGTGACAATCTAGTTGGAAGTAATTCAAGGATTACAACGTATGCAAACAACTGAAAGAATGAAGTGTCTAGACAAATGCTACGCGTATAAGCAAAATTCAAACGTTATAACGTGCAGTATTGCAGCTATATCACTTCAAGTCATCTTAATTTAAAAAAAACAATCAGTCAAATAAAAAATCCCAGATAAAATTGTCCTTAAGTGCTGGCAGTGGGTGTTGTTGCAGCTTTCTGGACCTTAGGAAGCAATGTGCACCTTTATTGTTGGCGTGAGCCCCCTGCTCTCATGAGTACCTGCAAAGATCTTAACAGGCTTTTGGATCAGGATATTATATCTGAAAAGGAGTTCCCTTTCCCTTCTTCTTCCCACTAAAAAGCTATCGTAAGATTTCTTTACACTGATGCTGTAAGAGCCGCCTTCTTTTCAGCCTACCCTTATTCACAGTTTGTATGTAGTTCTCTATGAAACAAACCTGTCCTTCAGCCTGAATAGTTTTTCCCACCCTTGTTTATGATTGTTTTTCAGCTCTGCTAACATCCCCCTTCAGCTTTTGTTTTGCTAGATTACATAGGGCAGGCTCTTCTAATCTTCCCTGAAGTGAGAGACTCTCCATTCCTTTGCTTAGCTAATACCTGTTCCTTGCAGCTCTTCCAGTCTGAATGTTTTTTTCTCAAATGCAGATGGCCAGAATTAAACAAACTTTAGCGGAAAAGACGTTTGGGCAGAACATTGCACCATGGCATAAATACTTCCCCCTCTATGTCTTAGGACTGTTGTTACTTGCTTTGAAGATGGGTGCTGGTAGTCAAATAATCTTAAGACCACTGCTTGCTTAAAGCAATTAATTGCTCCGTCAGGAGCCAACAATGAGTAAATGAAATACACGAAGGCATGTACTACGTTGGATGTTGTATCAAGCACGATAATTAATGGAAGGACTGACGTAGAACATAGCACAAGCTTTAGTGCAAGAGACACTGAAATACATCTGAATCATCTGAGAGGACAGAAATTTTAATCCTTGTTGACACAAGGAGCTGTTAATTAGCCAGTCAAATACAGGCTGATGATGGCTAGTTTTAGCAAGGAGATCTTTGCCTCTTCAAGTAAGCGAGGCAATGCTGATTTGAATTAAAAGGAATGTCTGGACTTGCAGATAAGGAGGAATTAAGAGTTTTGGTCTATCTACATGTCTGACAGCTCTGTAGAGGAGAGAGACGGCCTTTACAGCCAAAAATGTTTCACCAAGAAAAGGTTGTGCTCTAATGAAACCCCAAGCCTCAGTTTGCATTGCAGGTCCCCCAGTAGACTACGTAGAATTCATTAAAATGTTGGAAGTTGGCCTGAACCTGGCGAGTCCTACGTGATTGCTTCCCTCGTGCCCTTGTCCCCACTCCTTCCCAACTCGTACCCTGTCAGGTGGTACAGCTAGACTGTTCTCCTCCCTCTATTGCCCAGCTTACAAAGCAGGTTTTTGGATTTAGTCCCTAAGTGTTTGGTACTTTGTAGCATTTAATTTTGGTGCGTTTCTTTGGTAGTAGTCGTCAAGGCTGCCCAACGCTAGCGTGCTTGTGTCACTGTCTCTCTCTGGGGGCTCTGTTCTCACCAGGGGTGTTGGGAGTGCACTCAGAAATGAAACAAAATGCTTTTGGTCATATTATATTAATGAAAACAGGAAACGAGACTGGCCTTTGAGAATGATTCTTGAAAAATTCCACTAGTAACCTCTACATCCTCATGCTTCCCTTAACACCACATCTTTCCACTCACCCTTTTTCCTACCACTGCACATATTTTCAATGTTGATGGCTAATTTTTTGAATGGCTTTTAGTGAGCTTGGCTTTTGGTCCCCTGAATTTATGGGAGGAGTTAGTGACTCTTTTTCATAGTGGATAAAATAACACGACAGACTCCGTTTAGATGTTAATTCTAATTCAACACAGTTCACTTTAGTTTTTAGTAAAATTTGAAGTACAAATTCAAAAGTAAATTCAGTTGCATATTAATACATCCTAATAGTATATACTACTTAAAAAGAAAACTTAACATATTTTGAATGGGATTGGCTCACTTGAATTTCTCAACTTTTATTTTTGCCTAGGACATTATCAAATTTTGGCTTGGCAAAGGAGTTGATGGATTTAGTTTCAGCGCTGTTAAATTTCTTCTAGAAGCAACGCATCTAAGAAATGAGCCTCAAGTGAACAAGTCCCAGAATCCGGTAATGTATATTTTTTGTCTTTGCCTTTTTTTATGTATTTTCCACTCAGGGCATAGAGTTCTTATTGCTTTGGTTCTTAATTGTGGCTTTAAGAAGAGTGAGCGAGGTGCCTGCCTTGGAACGGAGGCTGCTTTGCAGGCTTCTTGCGGCAGGAGTACGTTTGGGGAAAGCAGCCTCTGGGCTAGGGCTGTAGGGCAGCAAGATTGCTGCGAGCAGGGCCCTGCCTGCAGGAACACAGTGGGTGGGAGGAGAGTCCTTATTTCTGTTCTGATACAGTTGCTTTGAGTTTTCTGCCTAAAATATTTAGCTTTTTAGTTTGTAGGCCAATAAGACCTGGGTTTTGAATTTTAATAGTTTATCGGTTGTCCGTAGGGAGCCCGTTACAGTAGGTAAGCTCGAAACTCTGGCTCACTTGGGATCCTGGAACAGTCACTAGCACGTATTTCCTCTAAATTGCTAGTCGGAATCTGAACAAAATAAAATATCTTGTCTTGGTGATATGCTACAGTGACGGGTTGACAGTCATGTTCAGAAACGTGAAACCTGATGTTCATATTACTTGCCTTTACTGAGGTTGTGAACCCAATGGTGTCAGCCGTTAGTACCACTAAGACGCAGTTCCGCTGCTGAGCTGATGTAACAGTGATGAGCTAGACAAATCTTGCCTCCGTAAGTTACCACAACAACGTTGTCCCATTTTCCAAGCTGGTTTGTGGCCACGGCATCTACTGTGTCTGCAGCTGCAAATGGGGTCTGTAGGTCAGTGCAGAATGTGGATCCTTCCTTTGGATGGACAGCTTCCACAATAACCAGCCCTCCTCTCCTTCTGCTGTCATATCTTTTGGTGAATAGTTACCCAAGTGCAGTTCAGATCTGGGCTGTGTTAGTATTGTATAACTAATTATTTTTTTATTTGTAATCAGAAAGTGAGGTGCTTTGCTGGAAATAAGTCTAGCTTCTCTTAGTAGATGAGCTAGTGAGTATAGTATAGGGAGCTAGTGACCCTAGAAAGCTGAGTGGGTTTTCATGGGCAAGGGCTAGTTGTGTTGAGATATGGGCCGTTTTTCTTTCCAGAGAAGAAATCACTGAATTGCTGTCTCAGCACATAAAAAGTATAGGCCTGTCTCACTGCCTTCTTGGTGCACTAAGCTAATTTCAGTTAAAATGATTTGGACTGATGCACTGGGTCCCGAAAAGGACAGCAAGAATTTGGGGAGTTCTGAATTCTAGAACACTGGAGGGCTAATGGGGAATATTGTATTGGTCTTTAAGGAGGATATCACAGCCTATTCCCAGCTCTACCATGACTATACAACCACGCAAGTTGGTTTGCATGATATCCTCCGTAGCTTCCGCCACACCATGGATCAATTCAGCAGTGAACCTGGCCGATACAGGTAACGATTTTTATGGCTAGTAAATTCTTTTTGTTCATCACCCTATCACCAGCAATAAAATCTTTTCTTGTAACGCATACCATAAAATATATACAGTGTGTTCTTCATCAAATGCAAATAGCAGTGCATAGGCTATACTATCTTCTCCACAACATGTGAGGGAAAAGAAGTCTGCAGTGAGTTGGCCCAGATAGTTCTAGTATAGGTACGGGCTGTACAAGAGTAAGCAGAATGTGCGACTATTGGGACTACGGCACCACTGTAATTAATGAAAGCCCACAAAGTTTTTTTTATTGTGCATTATTAATAATACATTCATATCAGATACATAGTCCAAAATTGTTATAATGGAGTTATGTGGGTATGGTTTTTAAAAAATAATGCTTAAATCAGTTCCTTAAAGCCTTTTTTTGACTACTGGAAACTTCTGGGGAAAAATCTACAAGAAACGCCTCCCCTTAATATTGCCTGCTTTACAAAATATTTTTAATTTTCTCTATAGTAATTCTTGGGAGGGGGAGCAAACATCAGGCAAGGCTCTGTTATTTTCCAAGTATGGTAAAATCTACTAAATCTACTCTGAGCTTCCTTCAACTCTGTACAAACCAGGAATGAGCTAAAAAAGATACCTGTTCACTTCTTGTAGGTTTATGACTTCTTACGCTGATGACAAGGAAGACACTGAAGCAACAATGATGTATTATGGAACATCTTTTGCCCGAGAAACAGATTTTCCCTTCAATTTCTACCTAATTAACTTGAAAAATCTATCGGGTAACAGTGTTTTTGAAGCTGTTAACTTGTGGATGAAAAACATGCCTGAAGGAAAATGGCCAAACTGGGCGGTAAGACCAACTCTTGTAGCAAGAGTCTGTTTGTAGCAGAGAGGATAGCAACCTCCCTCTTGCCACATGGATTTCAGTGGCATCAGCACCAGTCTGAGTCCATAGCTGAGCTATAACTGATATCCATGTAAACCTCTTGGCTGCTCTACCTGCAACAAGTGCCATGACAAGCCCTAGTTGTCCGTCCTGCCCACTGATAATGGTTACAGCACCCTTGCAAGGCTGACGTGAGGGAGTGTGTGATCACGTGCCTCCATCAGTGTCTCCAGTGTGGTCAGGGGCGCTGGCTGAAAACACCACCAATGAAGATGGGATTTGTATAATTATCTTCAGCCATAAACTCAGTGCAGTGGGTTCTGGAGACCTCCTCAGACCAGACAGCGGAGGACAGTAACTTTAAACCTTGCTGGTATTTGCTATAAAATATGCTTGGGACATGCGAGGGAGATCAGCTAGAGACAACACACAGAAACTATGGGCTCTGGTCACTTGTGCCAAAGCAATGTGGGAGCAGGTCTGTTTACATTTCGAACTTTATTTTTAAGAATATGGTGTGTTTTTATATGCTCAGGGCAGTCCCTCTGGAAGAAAGATGGGGGCAAAATTCCCAAGAGCATATGAGAAAGAGCTTTCCACTCTGCTCTCTCTGTTAGAAAGAGAGGCTGTGAGCCCATATACAGACCATATGGGGTTGCAGCCACTGCATGCCTCGTCATATCTCTTCCTACATTTATTGTACTTTTTTTGTTTCACTCCAAACGACTCAAATGTGCTTACTTTTTAGGCACTTCCTCTGGGGGCTGCAAACTTTTCACAGCTGCAGTGTAAGGACAGTCGTCTTCTCCAAACAAGCACCTCTTCCACACAGCAGGGCAAATGACAGAATTTAGGGGGAACTGTAACCTGGGGCGTGGACTGCGTTAAGGAAGTCTCTGGCTGATTTATCATCTCCCCTTGCTTCTGCCTGTCCTGCTGCTAGCAGGGTTTCTACATTCTGCATTCAAAATTACTTTGCGCAGAAGTTTGCACTGGCACCAAAATAAAAAAGATAATTTCACTTACAGTCCTGGAAATGAAACAAAGTAAAAACCTATTAGCTTCGTAAAGTAGGTAACGCTGTGACCCATCACCTAAGTGGTAAGGTCCTTTTCTCAAAATGGTGCTGATGGGGCAATCTTTCCTCATTATCTCTTTAGGGTGATAGTACCAGTAATGTAACTATGCAATTGGATTATGCATATGTTTGGCCAATACACACAAAACTCTTTGGAGCTACTTATCTTGATGCAGTGATTGTTAGTGTATGTCATTTTACAAGGGAAGATAGGCTGCAATTCTCTCTCTTATGGCAGTGTGAAGATATGGCAGTTTAAATGGATTTGTTTTCTCTTTATTTTGATGCATAGGAACGGTATTAGACCCAAAATGTGTTTTTTGTCTTCAGCTAGTCTCACATTTACATTGAATCTCATAATGTGCTTAACTGAATGATGTTTTCTTTAGGTTGGAAACCCTAACAGTGCTCGGGTTTCATCTCGGATTGGAAAGGAGTATGTCAATGTTATAAACATGCTTCTTTTAACCCTTCCTGGTACTCCTATTACTTACTATGGTGAAGAAATAGGAATGGTAAATATTGCATCAGAAAATGTAAGTGAAAAAGCTCATAAGCTCTGTTCCTGTTCCTGGTTAGTTCTGAGTGATGGAACTTTGAGAAATATAGAAACTTTTGTTTAATTAACTAAATACAATCTCTCTACACATTTTAAAGAAGTCAGTTGTTTGAGAGCATAGCTACAGCCGCTGACTCCAGGAGACTGCTCAGCTCTGACTTTGCAAAGGCCCCTGCCTAAGCCACAGCCCTTTATAAGGTGCCCAAGTTCTGAAGAGCTCTCCAGAAAGGGATGGGTGTAAGGACAAGCCACTGCTTAGCATGTCCTGGTGGCTAGCCTAAGTGGCTTTTGCTTGTCGTGCAGGGTTTTTTGACTTGCCTTTTAGAACCCTTTCTATAAAAGGTCTAGGTAGGTACCTGAGCCTGGGAGCCAGGTGCCTAACTCATTTGATCAGTTACTTGTAACACAGAGCAGGATGTTTGTATTTTCTACTTAATAGAAGTATTCAGAATTAAGTTCATTCAAAGTCAAGGGATGAAAACAAAGTGGCTGTGCCTCTTGCACTGCGCTGACCTGCGAAACTTCATTTTGGTGTTCGCCACCCCTATTGTTTCTTGTCTCCTCTGTGACCCTATCTATCTGACCACTGTTTTCTCCCTTTGGCAAAGGATTACTGGCATGACTGGAAAAGGTCAGGCCTGAAAGGGAAGAGCTCACCTCTGCCTCTTATAACTGTGTTTAAGAGCACGAGAACATGGTCTGATGATGGGTTCTGTTTTCACTGTGGAAAGCTGCTGTTACGGAATGAGGCAGCCTCTGATCATGTTACCAACAGCATCAGCTAGTCTGGTACCAAAGGGAAAGATGCACTTGCAGAAGTGCAGTATCACCTCCAGGTTCATCTCATTCAGATGTGATGAAATGATTCCCTGCTTTAGGAAAACTGCATCTCTTTCTCAGAGAAACACCTTGGTCAAAACATCTCCCACATTTTCTTATTACTGCTGATTACTACTGACAGAATGGGACTCTGATTCAGAAAGTGACTTACCCTGTGGCTTGGCCCCCCCCTGGGTTTTCTCTTTTAGTGGCTACGCTGCGGTTCAGGGCTTTATAACTAAGCAAAACCACTCCTTATTCAATCTGGAGAGGAAGAATCCCTGATTAATAGGTGTCTTAAAAAGTTGGAGAGTGTTTGCTCAGAATATAGTTTATAGCCCCAGCATTTGAAACCCTTCAAGAAAAACTAAAAGAGGTAAAGATGAAAGGGAGTGTTACCAGTGTTGAAAACTTAGCATTTATTATTTTTCTGCTTTTCAGAACATGCTAAAAGGAGAAACCCATTATTTATATTGTCACAAAGCAAAGTGACAACTTCTTTTGTTAAGCTGCTGTTCTGACAGATTCTATTGGAAAGTGCCCTTTATACAAAAAACAGTTTTCATGGAAAATAAACAGTCAAAGTATGTGCAAAATATTTTATGCCCTCTTATATCATTAAATTCATAAGTGTCAAATCTTTTGGCAAGCTCTTCAATGAAAATGAGGAAGCTTTTTTCAGAATTTTTCTGAACTGTTCAATATGAGAACTTCAGACTTCTTACACTGACACTTCTTAACCAGCTAAAAACTGTTTTTCAATAGTTCTTGCACTTCCCTACAGTTGTAAAATTTCCTATATCTTTCTAACATAAATGATGCTGTCCAAATTGTACCGCCTGCAAATATAAGCCTGAAGAGTATCTAGAGTGAAAAGCGTAATGGTTACAAAAGAACAGACGCTGAATAGTGTGCACTAATTGTTCATTGTTATGTTAACGGCATCTCTCCCTAGGACTCATTGCCTCATATTTTCACTTAACTGCGTGTCTACGTACTTGTTAGCATATCATAGCTGTCATCAGTAAACTTTTATCCAACCATTTCTGGCAAGAGGCTGCAGCGCTAGTAGATTCTTTTGGGAATTCAACAATTTAGCTAGTGATGCTAGACCTTAACTGTCCATTCTCTCCCATTTCAGTGACTGGCTCTACTCTTGTTTTATCACCATCTCTTTAGATTTGGAGCAGGATTACATACTCCTTGATATGGGTGGTGATATAGTGTGGAAAATTTGAGACCATTCCGTTTAATGGATAAGTTTTCAATACACTAATCAAATTAAGTAACTTTTTGATAATGGCTCTAACATCACTTTATTTATTTATTTATTTTCTAGGTGACCTTTCCAGAAAAATCCCCCATGCAGTGGGATGGCAAACTTAATGCTGGCTTTACTGAAGGCAACAGTAGCTGGTTGGGTGTTAACCCTGACTATCAAAGTGTAAATGTTGAAGTAGGTATTTATGTGTGTGACAAACTAATGGACTTAACGTATTTAAAAAAAAAAAAAGGATCTATTTTGCTCTGATTTCTTTTACCTAGTGGGAATTGGCAGTGTAGCTAATAAAAACAAACCCAAAGGAGGGCAATAAAAAGGCACTGGATCCGAACAAATTTTATTAGAAAAGGAAATCCTTGCAGCAAGGAGTCTACTTCATCTGCATTCATTTAAGCAAAACAACTGTAATTATGTTGTAGATGTAGATGCAATTTGGTTCTTTAACAACCTTTTAATGATTTTAATATTACATTGAAATTTGGTCTTTTTTTCATTTATAATAGTATAGAAAGCACTGTCCTTGCATCAAGAAACTAACACAGACCATCTCTAACATAAGAAAATAATAAAAAAAAGCTTTCAAGGCAATTGAGTAGTGGATCAAACACGCTTTACTGACCTACAGTGCTGATCAGACCCAGAGACAGACATCTGAAGTAAATCCTGTGACTTCAGCAGATCAGACTCAGAGAGAAAGGTTCAATATCAAGTCTTTGGGAGCACTGTGGCTTTCTGCCAAATAAACAATACTCTAAGTGACACCTTGGGGGGAAAAGCAGTGTCAGTGAAATTCTGTCCTGCCTTACCTCTGTGTCTCTGTCGCTACCCAAACCCCAAGGCAGAGCATGAGCACAAACACTTTTTCAATGGAATTAGCAGACAAAGTTGAAGAGATGTAGTTGTCAAAAGTGAATTCTAGTAGGTGTGTTCTAAACAGACTGTGTGGATGGTGTTTTCTGTATCCAGTGGAAAGAAATGACCTGTTGATGCTGTGATGATTTTGTTGCAGATTCAGAAGACTTGGTTGAACTCAAGCCTGAATTTGTATAGAGAGCTAACTTCACTTCGCAACAATGAACTACCCATTCATCGGGGGTGGATGTGCTACATCTGGAATGACAGTAATGTTTTTGTGTATGTGAGGGAATTAGATGGGTTAGACAGAGTCTTTATGATGGTTCTCAATTTTGGACAGGAATCAACAATAGACCTGAAAGCTATAGTTCCTAACCTCCCATCTGAAGCTTTTATAAGACTAAGTACTAATTTTAGCAATGCTGGTAAAGCTGTCAATACCAAAATAATTAAAACCGAAATGGGAGAAGGCCTGGTCCTTGAATATAAAACAGAAAAGCCTGTTCATGCTATGGAAGCTTTTCAAGAAAATTGTTTTGTGGCAGAGAAAGCTTGTTATTCCAGTGCCTTCAATTTACTCTACGTGAACTGTTAAGTGCAAGAGTAGAATAACCAAGCTCTCTCATTAATTTAGAAAATGTTGGTTTCAGGGGAATGTTAAAATTTTCAGTGGCTTTTCAAACTTCCTTTGTGTGTAAAATAAATAGCCTAGAAAATAAATTTGATACCTAATTGTCTTGCATCTGTGTTGATGATGAAAAAGTATGGTATGAACAAAGATCACAGTTTAGCATCTCCCATAGAGACGGTGGAGAAGAAAAGCAAGCCAGTCCTAATAGAGCAGCCTGTTTAAGTATGTTTTTGTGTGAGGGCAAGAAAACAGTTCCTTCCTAGGTGCTGCCCCTTACAGTTCCTGGTAGTTAATTCTTTTTTTGTAGTTGCTTTTTATATTTTGTTTTAGCTTTAACATGAGTTTTACAAAGGGGTGGTCCTGGATTTGTTAAAATAGCAAGTAAGACTAATATGTGAAAGTGCTGATGGTTTATTCAGAGCTGCTAGAGCTGCTAGAAGAGTTATCCTCCAAGTTAGTACGAAAAAGAACAAAAACTGGCTAAGGACGTCTAACTCTGCTCTCAAAACTGAATTTCCAATGGATCTTTCCTCCTCTCCTATACTGCGATAGAATATGTTTGCATTCTCATTTTTTATTTTTCTACCCAAAGAAGGGTGGAGGTAAGGTGTGTGTATATATCAGTTGTGGTTCAGAGTAAGCAACAACTCTGCTGAATGTCCCACTTGTTCGTGTGTTTTGAATCACATTTGGTGCATCTTCAGTAGCGGCTTAATGTGATACAAAAGAAGGACAGGGGTTTGATTTGGTGCAATCTGTTTTGGTTTGAGGACCTTACGGCCACATAATGTTTTCCACCACTGAAGTTTGTACCAATTGTTGGTACTAGGTGTGCACTATGCATCTATCTTAATAAACAACGCGTAGCTGTTTTGTACAAGATTGCCTTGCTTAGAGGTCACTGAGCTATGAATCAGTTTTACTGCCTTGTGTAAAATTCTGTCTTGGAATAGAGATCTTAGACCGGAATGGCTGCCGGTACAAAGTGCATCTCTTCACATCTTTGGTTTTCAGCACCAACTGTTTTGCACTAAAGTTCTGCTTGTATTGTGCTGCACTACTTGCTTCGATGAACACAACTGCCCTGAACTAATTGGTTAATGCAGGAGGCTACTTCTGTACTACCTGGCAGGAGAAATGTAACACATAGTTTGTATGTTTGTAAGCTAATGCCACGCACAACTTTTAGTCTTTGAATTTCTGGTCTGCTTATGCCCAGAAAGCAGGGATCCAAGAGAAGAGAAGAGGTTTTCACTCTACCTATAAATACAAATCTGACCTGAAGCTTTTCAGGTGGTCACTGTGTATATCACCTATTTGCAGGATTTGACGTGATGTAATGTTGTGGATAGCATACTTCTCCACCTTATTCTTTATCAAGTTCTTTGTTCAGAAAAGCAAGGTGTCTTGCAACCTAAAACAATGAAAATGTTTTATTACAAAACAATAAAACTCTTTATGCCATAAAACCTCAGGTTCTTCTGCAGCTATTCTCATCTTCCTTTCCCATATTGATTCTAAGCAGCATCTTGCCCTTAAACAAAACAAAGCTTTTTCCTAAAGATTTAATTTGGGGGAAAGCTGCAATACCTGACACTTATTGGGAACTGTAAAAATTAACAGTAATAAACAAGATCTGTGCCCAACTATGATACTCTGAGACATCGGTAATAAGGCAGGCTAAGGCAGTATGTTGTCTTTTAGCATACACATTTGTAGAAAATGTGAAACATTGAATCCTAAGTTCAGATCCCAAAATGTAAAGATCAAACCTCTCATATCTATTTTGCTCATGAGGAAGAAAGAAGTAAATGAAAAAAATCAGTATGACAACTTTAAGCTCTTAAAACTGTATGGTACACGACTTTTCCTGCTAGAACAATGTTTCGCACAACTTGAAACCTTTTATTCAAAGCTCTCAGCACATTACAATGGGGGTCTAAAACTATTTTGAGGTTTGAGGTACGGTGAGGTTCAATAATCTGGCTCTGCCATTGGATCTTATTTATACACAAGCAACAGCAACCTTAATTCCATCAGTGTTTTTTTTTTTTTTTAATTGCTGCAAACATACATGCAATGACTGCATGAACTACTGAGGCTTAAATATTAATTGCCGGGAAACCTCCCATACATGTTATGGAAGTGCGCAAAAAAGGGGGGCATACCTCATTTAGTGAATCCTCCCAAGATGACTCACAATGACTGCTGTTTGCCTGGATGTCTAAGATGATATTAGGGATCCAATTTCCTGAAACAACAAACCTAGTGGTCACTAGACATTGAACGAACAAGGAAAGGTAAAGCGTGGATGTGAGGCTTTTAGGGATGCGTAATTCTGCCTTCTGTCCTGACAGAATTTCTGCTATTCCTTTGGAAAGAAAATGAATCGGTGGCTTGCTGGATGAACTACCTGCATTTGTTAACTACATATCTGAAAAATGTTTATGTTCAGTGTGTATGTTCTTTCTCTGAGCCTCTTTGGAAAAAAAACGTGCTTTCTCTTTCTGAGCAACGATAGCAACAACTGCAGCATCGGCTATCCCTTTTCAACCTTTGCAATTGGTCTGCCAGGAGAGAAGGGACGTAATGAAATTTAGAGAAGCTAATCCAAGAGCTATTTTGGTCCTGATGGTAAAAGCCTCTCCCTAGATTAGACGGTACTGCAAAATAACAGGGCTTGAAGACAGCTTTTCCTGGAAACAACACCAGGTCTGGGACTAAGTCTCAGGTATAAAAACATCTACACCTTCGCATAGCTATCATTCTAACTAGGACTATCACCTGCAGTTTCAGGAAACTGGGAAAAGGGGCTTTTTGTAGAGCAGCAAAAATAAGACCTTATCAATGTACTGTTGAGAACTGCAGTCTAACCAGAACAGTAGCTGGACTAGACAATAAGGGTTCACCTAGCTCTGTCCAACAGTAGCCATACAGTGAAGCCTAGAGAAGAGTGATCCCCACTGATAATCTCCCTGACTTCAGTTTTTTTCAGCTCAGAGAGTTTCCTGAACCTGTTGTGGTTTGTCATTATTGTTTAACACATGCTGATTTAACCATTTTCAAGAAGGTCTACAATACTGATGATCTCTCTTAAGGCTCTGGAGAGTGCATCTTACAAGCTGAGGTTTATCCATTTGTCAGTATGACTGCACGTCTCATCTTTGCAGATACCAGAAATTACTTGAGAGATTTAGATACTGGATCATATGGTACAAGTGAATGCATTTAAGGAGGAGCTGATCTCTGTAGTGTTGTCTAATTATATGACTAATGATATTCTGACTTAAAGTTAACTCCATGTATCTGTAACATTTTTATCTCACCTTTCCCTTCTGTTCTGCTGGCATGATCTCTTGCAGCCTTCCTAAGTTTCTGAACATACCTTAAAACTCCTGTTAGTGGTATTCGTTGATCGTTTTCATAAGCTGTGATAAAAACTGAAGGATAATGCTGAGATAAAAAAAAAAAAACAAAAAAACTTGACAACCGCTTTTCCCATAAAGTGAGTAAACACATTTTTCTCCATATATCTTATTGTACTACTTGTTATGGTTTATCTAAAGCATAACTATTACATAATTACCTGCTCTTAAAACCAATTTTACTTTTTCCAGTTAGAGTGATAAGAGTATTTTGGTCTGAAAATGACAGGTTAATATTGGGTGATCATCTACTTGCAACAGGGGCATGAAAATATGAATCCTCTCTCCACTTCCAAAGGACTAAGGCATATCTGCTTGCTGAAGCTTACCAAAAAAAAAAAAAGGAGCAATAGTCATAGAATGGTTCACCTTAAACAGTCAGAGCAGCAGTTAAGATTTACTTCTGCAATCTTAATGCGCATAGCAAAACAGTTGTTTTTATATAGTAAGATTTTGTTTATTAATGAAGCTATGTAACACAGCTAGCTTATCGTTTCAAATAAAGTAAAATTTCCTCTGAGATGACAGTATCAAAGCCATAGCTCCTTTTTCTATTTCATTGTCTGTCTTTGAAAGGTATTTTCTTTCTGAAAAATACCTCCTTCCTCTTGTGAGGAAGTCTGGAAAACCCAGCAGAACAATGGAACTTCCACACAAGGGCAGAAAAGTATTTTACAGGTTGGGATTTACAACATGTTTGTTATTGTTTGTTATACCATAAAATAATCTGTTAAATACATTACTTCATGGCTGTCTGTAACAAAAACAGCTTTTGCAAGCAACTGATCATTTAGGGGAAGGAGTTTACTTAATTTCAACAGTCATCAAGGCCCCAAATATTGCTAAGTTATTACTGAAATAATTTGTATTAATGATTCATTTTAGCACACATATGCAGTTCAGACAGTTTTTGTAAGTAAGTGTTGCATTTTTAAAGCACGGAAAGGGTAAAATACAATTATAAAAAATTCCAGTTACTCACTTCTCATTATTTTCTTATAAACTGCTATGTTTTTATTACTGCAGTATTTGACACAGAAAGGGCAATTTTACCTGTGGCTTAATATTCTGGTAAGGACAATAGTTTTTGATATACGTCATACTTCTTTCATCTGCTAATGGATTTCCCCATTCTTCCTGTTCTTCCACTGTCAGTGGGAGATGAGTTTTCATCATTGTATTTAGAACATCTAGGAAAGGAGCCTTAAAAGTTATTTGAAAAAAGAAAAAAGTTGGCAAACATGACACAAGACCTCAAATACCTAAGCCAAGGTATTTTCAAACAAATGAGAAATGTGAATTTCGAATTGGATTGTTTCCAATTCTGAAACTGGTGAAATGAAGCAGAAAATACAGTTTGACCTCATCTTCTATAAGAGATCAGCAACACCTTACCTGTAAGACCACGGCTCTGATAAGTTCTGGATCAGTATTGCACAGGGCTCCTGCAAGAATTCCTCCAGCACTGGCAGCTACTAGTGCTGTATATTTTGGCTGAGAAAATCCTAGTTCATGCAGCAGCATAATGCAAGCCTTAAGGTCATGGAGACCTTTGAGTTTATTGTGCTGACATCCATCTTTGTGCCAGCTAAGGCCTAGCTCTCCTCCACCCCTGAAATTTAAAACAATTCAAATTGGAGTCTCTCTGGAAAACATTACACAGCAAAGCTTCAGATAATGAAGGACAGCAGCAGCTACAGAATTGCGAAAACAGTTTGCCTTCCCAATCAACTCTTCCTTCCTCTATTTGTGTCTTTACTGTCCTTTATGGCAGAAATAAATACACTAAATGCAAATTAAAAAGTCCTTATATGATGACTGGTGCAAATCCAAACAGCATAAAGGCACTACATGCATCATCCATCCCTTTGTGCTCATATCCTGGAATTCATAGGTAAAGAAGCACTTCAGGAAGTGTTACTTCCTTTCTTATATCACTAACTGTCATTAAAATCATTGAGAGTATCATTTCTCAGCTCCTCCCTGAAACGCTCAGGATTTGCTTTTTGTGCGGCTTTATATTATATAGTCAATTGGTCAATTTCTTTTTTTTTTTTTCCCTAGTTGTCAATTTTGAATACTAGATGAAACATTACAGGTTGTAATATTTACAGACTTTTACAATGAAATTTGTGTTCCTTTTCACACAGTTGCAATTTTGGTTTTACGCTAGCTAGAGTTTCCTTATTCAGGTTTCAAGTTTAAAATGAATTAACTGATTAATTTGCCTCTTTGGTACTCTTCCTCTTTGGTACTGCCACTGTAACATAAATAGGATCCACTTACGTCAAAAGACACAGTGGTGGGAGTAAGAACCACACAATGCTTGCCACTGCATTATCAGACTGTGAATATATTTGTATGCTGAATTTGTTTTGAAAGTGGTATTTCAAACAGTTGTTGGTTCCCCCCCATCTTCCCCTTGCTAAAATGAGTCTTTTGTTATCTTCTTTATCTACTATTATCTCAATGAAAATGTGAAGCCTATTGTACATAGTAGTTTTCTAAAACTAGCAAGTTTGTAGCTAAACAGGAAACAAGATTTGGCCAATAAAAGAACAAAAGATGCAGGTTAAACACTTAGTTACTGTTGCAGAAAGGCAAATGCTTTTCAGAAGGCAGGTTGAAGGCTAGTACACAATGCTCCAGGAAAAAAAGGGCGGTAGCAGCACAACACTGCAGTTTGAGCATGCTCTCAACAATTTTTTGAGCAAGGACAAGATGAAATGAGTAGTTCAGAGGTATCTTAAGATTGAAAGGTAAATACAACTATCCTCTTGACTTAAGAAACCTGAACGCAATATGTATTATTCTAAGTATAATTTTTTTCCTTAGGAAAATTTAATTATTGTTAAAACTACTTAACCGTTCTAGAAATGGATGGAAATGAACAGCATAAAGGATCAGGTACAGCTACATCTAAAAAATATTTATGTACCTGTTCATTTTCATATCAAGAAATGTCTGTATCCCATAATACTAAAAAAAAAATCTTAATTTCACTTTGTATTTGACTTACCTAACATGGCAATATGCTAATATCCAATCCTCTTCAATTAACATCAGCTTCTCTTCTTTAAAGCTCATGTTCAAATCTATGCCATAAGCTCCATATACATGAACTAGAAGTGGTTTCCTGTGTAGCTCTTTAGAATTTATATTATGAAAAACTGTAATTGGCACCAAAGTTTCATCCTGGAAATGAAGGAGTATTTTACAATAAAGGATATTTCAGAAATCTCAATGACACATGGCAATGAAAACTTCAATTATTTATTTTAAAATGTTTTTTTTTTTGATTACAGTAATTTTTTTCACTTAGCTTGTACAAAGCACTCTTGAAAAATAAAGCAAGAAACTGAACCTCCGCTGTGTAGGTTTATGGATGCAGAGTATAAAATTCATTTAAGTGCAACACCTGAGGTGTTTTTAAACTATCAAAGCACCCAAGTCTTCCTTCCCCCTTTAACACCAGGAGTATCTATTATTAACAAAATAGTTTACCACTTACTGCAGCACAAACTCTTTATTAACATCTCCATTTTTTTTTATACCCAGGCTGTTAAAACTTTCCTTTCTTGATTTATACTGTGTAGACAGTTGGGGGGTGTTCTTTTCAAGAACTAGCATCCTTTTTTATCTTACAGAATATGATACCATCCATCCAAGTTCTATTATACAAAGATTCTTGACTCATCATGTACTGTTACCTCTTCTAACACACCCAGGTTAATTAAAAAAAAAAAAAAAATCTTATCACGACTTGTTCTTTTCTATAGCACTGAAGAAAACACCCACTGTTTAGTAACTATAGCACTAACTGCTCTTTACATTTTTTTTAACCTCTATTCCCTGCCAAATGCATTTTCTTTAAATGGAGAGGAGGAAAGGAAGAATAAAGGGAACAGCGAAAAGACTGAAAAATCTTACCTTGCTTTTAGCAAGTAAACGTGTAGTGTGACAATTCGTAATAATTGGTACCTCTTGCTCAGCTTGTTCAATGAGATTATTTTCTTTAAATGAATATGCAAAACGCTTAGGGGGGTGTACTGGGGAGGTGAGCTGAAAATAGCAAGTGCTGGTGGTATGTTCAGGATGAGATTCCAATTCAAATGCACAGGCCCACGTAGGCAGCTGAGAAAACATAGCATTTTAAGTGACACCGTTAGACTGCTTCTATACTTTGCCTAGTGTGCCCTTCAGAGGCAAAGATTTTGAGTACCAAGCTAATTATCTTCAGTTTACACCTAGTACAATCTGTATTTCTTTAAAATTCAGTACTGAAGTGGTCAGAAAGTGAAAGACTTTAGTTAACTTTTTCCTTAAGGCTGCTAGATAAAGTTCAACAATGAAATAAACTGGGAAATAAATCCAAAATCAAATCCAGCTTAAAATGGGCATTAAAACAGTTTTTTTTTTTTTAAATAAAACACTATTTCAAATAGATTCTGCATTGTTTTTAAATCCTGTTTCCCCTCTGATTTCCAGTTCTACTTCAACACACTGTACAGCCAAGTCCGTATCAGCTGTTATGCTTTTACTGTGAGTTAGCTCAGTAATGCTAAACCACTTAAAACCCCTGCCTCTTAACTTTGTTCCTAGTGCCAACCATTGTGAAGAACAAAACCTTTTCCTGGCACATTCACCCTCAGATACTTACTGCTATTATATGTAAGATGTTTAAATCTGCTAAGAATAAAAGAAATCAAGATTCATACTTTGAGAGCAGCAGGAACTTAGTCAAACCCTCTGCCAGGCCAGTTTGCTCGAGTTAGGTTGCCAGAGACTTCTGAAACGGCAACAAAAGCCAAAGTTCTACAGACTAACTGCAGACTTTTTTTTGAATAAATACACTAAGACCATTCTTAAAAATCAAAGATTTCAGAGACCGTAACAGAGCAGTGTGTTTAAAAAGCTTTATCTATAGCAGTTTTATAGAATATACCACTGGTAACTTGTTGCAACAAGCTTATGAGTTATTCTGATCGGTTTGTTGCCCTGAAAAAAACTCTTTAAATAGCTGAATGGTTTCCAGAAATCATGTTTTTGAATTGAGTTACCTTGTCTCTAATCCACAAGTATTTAGCAACAACTAGAGAAGGGAAGAAATACTTGCAAAAATTGTACTGCAATATCACTTTTCTCATTTATTATAGGATGGGTTCCATGTTTGTCTTCTGAAAGTTCTAATCTCTCCCCTCTGGGAGAGCCAGGCTTATTTCGTTGCTTGGACTGAGCAGTGTAACCAAAAATAAGCCCAGTAAAACTAAGGAAAGTGTTTAAGGAATCAAGTACTATAAAACAGTACATTAGAAACTGGCCATATGGTAAAAAGCTTGACAGTAATAAGCTGAAAAAGGAACTGACTCACAGCATAACTGCTTTGAAACTTGGTATGGGCTACAATAAGCCATCACGTGAAATCCTGAACAACATCCTCAGGTAATACAATAGTCAGGACAAAATTGTCACTGTTATAGTTTCCATACCACCTTGAGTCTGCGAATTTATCTTTGCTTTCAGTATAACGTTGTACTGAAAAATTTAATCCCATGCTGGAAAAATATTGTGCTACTTAAGACAATCTAGAACATACCTTAATTGACTGAACTGAATGAGAAACAAAAGAAAGTACATTTAAATAAAGATGACCAGTGTGCTGCAGGAACATAATACAGTGATTACTGAACATCTCCAAGTCTATTAGTTTGGTCTTCTCCTCCAATGCATAAAATAACTGCCAGTTCTCCATGCCACTGGAAGCTACTGGTGCCTTCATCAACTACAAAAGAAAAAAGAACATCCCTGCATTACTAAGAGATGTAATAAAAGTTAACAAGTGAGCTGTACAGACATACAGGTGATCTCATACAGTGAAAGTGGGTGGGTTTCTTTTTGCCTAACTAACGCTGGAAGCATTTAAAAACTTTACTGATAGCAGGAAAGAGCTGTGTGACAGACAGTTAAAAAAATAATTTTTTTACAACTTTGTTTGCAATCATATTACTACGCTTCTTTAAAAAGAGTAGGTTGGCAGAGTCCCCTGGGACGAGGGCGAAAGGGCAGGGTAGGGGGTCTCAGGGAAGGCTGCTTCTGCTGCCTGCTCATCTAAGCAGTTACAGTCTCTCTGTTTAAACTCCAGTCTTTGAGCTCCTCCTACTGTGGTTCTCTTGCTTCTTCTGCCTGTAACACCCCAGGACTCTCCAGCCTCCCTTTTCAAAAAAGGTTTGTTGAAAGTGAGGTTGGGAGGAAGGACCTGTTCTGCAAAGACATAGCTGGCAGGGAGAGCACTAGTTATAAATTCTTTTTTACTTCTGTTTGACTCTTAAATAGAGAAGAGAACACTTTCAAAGTAATCAGAAATTAATTATTCTTGTTTCTATCTACTAAAACTTACCCATTTCAAGTTTAAAATGTCTTTTAAAACTGTCTTTAGGAAGCTCACATGAAAGCTCCAGCCCAATTTCTTTTCACAGCAGAAAAGCTGCTATACAAAGCAAAACGCTTATACTTCACAGATGACTAGCCTAAATCCAACCTGCCACAATCCTGCCCTCTCTGCTCTTCCTATGAGTTCCCATTGCCTGCGTTGTACTCAAACAAGTACTTATTCAGCCAAGTGGTGAACTCGTTCAACTAGCTGATCCAGCATAAAATAACTTTTAAAAAAAAAAAAAAAAAAAAGGA